GTGCTCGTCCATGCGGCGGGGAAGCGGCAACGGCGGGGCCGCGTCGTTCCTCCTTGCGCTCCCCGCCCCTTGGCCGCCTCCGCCCCCAGCCCAGCCCGCCGCCTGTTGCTACCACCGCAGTTGCCGCCGCTGCCGCCGCGAGCCTCTGGATGAGTCTGGCGCTGTGCGCCGGACTTCTCAAAAGAGACGCCTCCACAGCCCTCCTTCTCGCTCCCCTCTGCACCCCTCCCCCGCGGGCGCGCGCCCGCCCGCCCCTCCGCGTCCCCTCAGGATTCCCGCCCACCGCGCGGGCGCGCGCCCCGCTCCCCTAGGGCTGCCGGGCCCTGCCCTGCCCCGCACGCGCGCCCTCGTCGCCCCTCAGCCTTACGGAAGCGCCCTCGTTTTTGCACCTTGGTGGCCCCAGCCCTCTTGCCCAGCCGAGCCGACCCTCGCGGAATCCCGCCGCTGAGCTCGGTCCTTTTCTGGTCTGCACCCGCTCCCCTTGCCTCCGCCCGCGTGAACGCGTCCCTGTCGCTTAGCGCTCCTCCACGCGGCCCACGCTGTGGCCCGCGGACCAGACGAGTTCTCGCCGCGACCCGGCGAACCTTCTTGTCCTCCACATTACACCTGGGCCCTCAGGGGAGAACAAGGCCAGCACAGGCCAGGTAGCAGCAGGCGGAGGGTGGCGAGGAGGAAGGATGAAGCAGACACTTGCTCAGGCCAGTGCGGTGGGGAGGAAATACCGAGCCAGGTGGGCGCCCTGGGGAAGAGGCAAGTTTGGTGCCAGCATCCTGAGCTCACTGAAGGCTAGATCACAGCCAGGAGGAAGGTCTCTAAATAATTCAACTACCACTTTGATGAGAAGCCAAACCAAGTAATGGGTGCTGAATGGTTTCGCACCTAGAATCTCAAGAAAAGGGATCCTTAAAGGCGTTCAGGGACCAAGCTTCTGGTGTGAATGGTTCACACTAACTTTGTAGCTGAGATGTTAGCTACTGGGAAGTGGGATTGGCAATGAAAGTCTAGTCTTTTTAAGTACAGTGAGATTTCCTATCAATGGGAAAATAAGAGAAAAATGGAAATTCTCCATGTCTAATGTCTGTGGGAGCTCTGGTGGCGTAGTTTCTTAGGCTGCTAACCAGAAGGCTGGCGGTTCAAACCCACCAGCCACTCCTCGGAAGGAAGGTTGGGCAATCTACTTCCGTAGTGACACTGCCTAGGAAACCCAAGGAGGGGTCGCTATGAGTCCGTCCGACTCCAGGGTATATAACAATAACAATGTCTGTAGAAAGAGCCCCGTTGAAGCTCTTGGCTGCTTGTTATCACTCAGCTGCTAACAGAAAGGCTGGCAGCTGGAACCAACGCAGCCGCTTTGTACAAGAATCTGGCGAGTCTCTCCCGTAAAGATTAAACCCAAAACTGAAACCTGTTGCCGTCTAGTAAATTCCAACTCATATTGACCCCATAAAACAGAGTAGAACTGCCCCCATAAGGTTTCCAAGGCTGCAATTTTTAGGGAAGCAGACTGCCACATCTTTCTCCCGGCAGAGCAGCTGGAGGGTTAGAAACAGCTGACCTTTTTGGTTAGCAGACAAGGGGTTAACCGTGAACCCAGTGGGACTACTCCGTTAAAAATTCCAAACCAAAAATTCACTGCCATTGAGTGGACATGGAAACCCCCATAGTATTTCCAAGGCTGTAAAAGGCCTGGTGGTTTTGAACTGTCAACATTTTGGTTGGCAGCCAAATGAACGCCTTACCCTGCATCACTGAAGTAAATTAGGAAAGAGGAACTGTTGTCCTGACACTTCATGACCAATCAAACATTTGCTGACTATTTGAAAAGTGATTTGTGGTCATTTTTTTCCATCACTACTCTCAACCATGAAGTTCTCTAGAACTGAGACTGGGTTTTAGGAGCTCTGGTGGTGTAGTGCCTAACTCTTGACTGCTAACCAGAAGGCTGGCGGTTCAAATCCACCAGCCGTTCCTTGGAAGGGAGGTTGGGCAATCTACTTCCATAGTGATACTGCCTCGGAAACCCAAGGAGGGGTCACTATGAGTTGGATCCGACTTGATGGCAGTGCGTTTGGTTTTTCTGGTTTAGCAACTACCATGGTGGAAATGGTTGGTGCTCAAATGCTAGCTGAAAAGTTAGGGATTCACACCTACTCAGATGGCTCAAAAGACAGATCCTGGATCGAGTGAGAGGAAAAACATGGAACAAAATCCAAAATCACAATAATGACCAGAATTACTGGTCGGGTAGAGTCTGGTGGGACCCCCAAGACTATGGGCCTGGGATAAAACTCACTTCCAAGGGCTGGCTCTCAGCTCAACAGTTAATAAGACTTACATGCAGAACACTCAACCCAGGGCGATGCACCCACCTACTCTAGGGAGATACATCCCTTGGAGCGATTGGCCATGGGGCACCAGAGGGGCAACAGTCACATGGAGGAAAAGCTGGACAGACAGGAGTACGTAACTAAGAAGGGCATGGGGGCAGGTTACTGGGAAGGAAGAGGAGGAGAGTGGGTTAGAGTTGGGGATGGTAATTAGGGAGTGAAACAAAATGTACACAAAATACTGAATGTAAAACAAATTGTGCTTTGTAAATTTGCACCTCAAGCACACACACAAAGACAGGCCTAGTGATCTGCTTCCCTAAGGGCACAGCCTTGAAAACCCTATAGAGCACTTTTGCTCTGCACACATGGGAGTCGGAATTGAGTCAAGGACAGCTAACAACACATAACAACAGCAACTTCCAAAGTGCTTGGTAAATAGTGTTGTTGTTGTTGTTGTTGTTATGTGCCGTTGAGTCGGACCCGACTCATAGCGACCACTCCTTGGGTTTCCGAGGCAGTATCACTACGGAAGTAGATTGCCCAACCTTCCTTCCGAGGAGTGGCTGGTGGGTTTCAACCGCCAGCCTTCTGGTTAGCAGTCAAGTGCCTTAGGCACTATGCTACCAGAGCTCCCCCTGGTAGTAGTAGGAACTCAGTAAATGCTTCTTGAACTGAATTCCCCAACAAGTGGTTCTTTGCATTTCTATCTGTCCTAGAGTGTAGCTGTTTCTTCTTTCTGAGCCCCAGACCCTGATGGGATTTCTGGGTTGGGAAGTAATTGGAAGCCGAACACACAGTAATTACTCAGTTATCCCACAGAGCTTCCACTTCTGGCTCTTCTGGCTCTAACAGTCACCCATGTTCTTCACTGTCAATTCATATTCCACTTCATCTCCAAGTCAGTGCCAGATATTGCAGGCAGTTACATATGTTGGAAGATGGTAAAAGTAGGCACCCATAGAAACACAAAAACTGCAGAACACTATTTCATGTGGCAATCACACCATTATTTTATGTATATTTTTTGAGCAAGTGATTAGGGTAGCAGAATAATCATTGATATATTTAAATCTAAGAATAAGACAGACTGCCTGCTGCAAAGATAGCTAAAACTTTTATAGTTCAAAAGTTTAATTTACCTCTGTGCCTGACTTGGACAGTGATTTATACTCCTCTTTTGCAGGAATTAGTACTGAAATGAATATTAATCAATAGCAAGGGAGACCAGAGCAGAAGACTGTCCTGTGATGGATGGTCACAAGCTTTTCTTTGCTGTGAAGTCTCTTCTCCTTCAGAAATGACTATTTCCTTTCATTTCATGTATTTGCCTTGTCTGGAAGACTCTGAGTCTGAGCTTCTTAGGACAGCCTTTACTTTCTATTTGAGGCCCAGAGAAGTTTAGTGATTTATTCAAGCTCACAAAGCTAGTTAGTGGCAGAGCTGGGCCTAAAATCTTGGACCATTTCCAAACCCAGTGTGTACTCTACTGTATCATACTGTGAAACTCTTATGTTGATCACTGTGAGAGCTTAATAAATACTACATTTCTAACAGCAGCCTATTTACTTCTGATTGCCATCTAGTTCAATTCATATTTATTTTCACTGAAAACCACTGCCTTCTGACAGCTAGTCTGTTGTCTATAGGACATGAGTTGGTGGGCACATTCTAGCACTGTTGGGCAACAGAACCCATCACAACAGATCAATGTCAAAAATGGCACTTCAGGAGGAACACATACCATTTATTTAGTACCCCCCACTGAGGAGCTCAAAGTGATTTGAAAATGTCTCATTAATCCTCATGACACCCCTGTGGGATAATAATAATATTATTATAATGTTTAAGTGTAGAATTGTGGCAAAGCCAACAGCTTCTGTGAGTATGTGCAAGATTTCCCCTTATTTCAGTCTACAATGATAGAGCTTAAGTAAAACCATCAGATTTGCAAATGGCAAGGTAAACCTTGGGGTTTGGGCTTTTTTGGGCTAGCTTGGGTTTCTTACTGACCACAACAGTACTAAAAATAGCTCACCAGTTGCTTGCCAGATGGTAAGCAGCATTTGGTCCAGATGTATTTGAGAATGGGTCAAGGCAGGCCTGGATTACCACTAATCCACAATTATAAGGAAGTGAATGGAGAAAGAATACCTACTATGTTCTAGCAAGACACTGTTGTAGGTACTATGGAGGAGTGATGCTTAAGCATGAACCTTGCCCTCAATAGGCTTACATTGAATTAGGAAGATGAGATAGAAATCCATGAAAGAGTTCATAAAATAGTTAACAGCACATAACAATAGTACCAGAAATATCACAAAACAACTTGTGCTATGGGTTAAACTGTGTCTTC